TACCCACAACAAACCCAGTCTGGCTGTCCCTCAGGATGTTGCCATTAGCCAGTTTGCCGAGAATAGTTTCTTTGTTTTTTTCCAAAATCTTTCCAGGGATTGAGGTCAAGCTGACTGGCCTGTAGTTCCCTGGATCTACTTTCCTCCCTTTCTTGAAGATGGGCATGACATTGGCCTTCTTCCAATCTTCAAGCACTTCACCTGAGTGCCATGAGTTCTTGAATATCCTTGGCAGTGGCTGGGCTATGATGCCTGCCAGCTCCTTAAATACTCTGGGGTGCAAACTGCCAGGACCAGCTGACTTGAAGATGCCCAGCCTCTCAAGGTGTTCCTTTACAAGTACTGCGTCCAGTCCTTTACAAGTACTGCGCACCTTACACTGATGTTGGGTATAAATTCATCCTCACCCTGGCCATCCCACTCGTGTTAGACAGGATGGTCCCTTTGGGCTGGTGAAAAACCGATGCAAAGAACCCATTAAGTAGGTTGGCTTTTTCCTGGGTGTTGGTTGTCAGTTATCCCATTTGGTTTAGCAGGGGTCCAATGTTACCCTTGCTTTTCTTCCAACTCCCCACATATCTGAAAAAGGACTTTTTTTTGTCCTTGATATGTGCAGCCAATTGGAGTTCAGTTGCAGCCTTGGCTTTCCTGGATCGCTCCATACAGGTACGGACCAGTACAGAATACTCCTCCTTAGTGGTGATACCTGTTTTCCATCCTTTATAAGTCTCTCTTTTTAGATGTAGGAGTTCCATGAGTTCCTTGCTGAGCCAAGGGGGTTACTGTACCCTTTTCCTACCTTTCTTCTGAGATGGGATAGACATCCCTTGTGCTTTCAAGGATTGCTCCCTCAAGGAGCAACCACTCACCTTGAACTCCCCTCCTTGTCAAGTCATGTTCCCTTAGGGCCTCAAGAAACAAGCCTCCTGAGCTTATCAAAGTCAGTGTTCCTAAAGTTGAGGACTTCTGAATTTCTGACCGACTTGCCAGCTTTGCGATGGATAGTAAAAGTGATCAGCTTGTGGTCACTGTCTCCTAGCTTCCCTTCAATTTTTAGGTAACTGACTAGATCATCCCTAGATCATTTTTATGAACTGGACTTGCTACAAAAATCTGTGGGGAATTCCATATATTAAGATATGCTATGCTGAATGAGCACTTGTCAAGAAATTTCTTTTATTTTTGTAACGTTTTGTTATTGCTTGTAACATAAGTTTTTTTCCTGCATGGGATTCCTTAAATGTAACAAACTAAACAGAATTGTTCAATAAATATTTATTCTGTGAATTCTCTTTAATTTCTACCCTTTACTAAACCGTATTGTTTTAAGGCAATAGTATTGGTGCTTATGACTTTGGAGATACCACTATTTGGCAACCTAGGGAGAAGGAACCTGACTTAGGATCTTAATAGAATGAGTATCCAGTGAAAGCTCAAGGGAACGCCAAACTCCAAAAAGTGCCAAAACAGGAAGAGCAACGATCCATTTAGACAAAGGTCAAACTGAAATACTCAAGGCAGAGATTGATATGGGAAGTCAGCCTAATGTAGAACCAATAAACAAAGATATGATGGGTTTTATTTTATTTCCTGATAAAATAATGGATTTTTTTTAATGCTTACTTCTTTCTGAGATCCTTCCATTTTAAATGATTTAACTAGGTAAATTCTCTAGTAAAAATTTTGTCTAGGAGGAAAAATGTGATCTTTTCTTGGATATTTTCTTTCCTACAGATATGATTACATAGAAACTGTTCAGCTTTATGTCTTAAATGTATTTCTTGTTTATACCTTGAAATTCAAGAAAGAATTCATGTTACTTTAAAGTGAAATTAGTTCTCTTTCCTCCAGCAGGAAACTCTGTATCCATTACCACAGACAAATGATCTCTGAATTACGTGACTCATTGTGACTAGAAAAACTTTTAAAACAGTTTTGTAAATTCAAGTTGCATATATCACTTACATCTACCAAAGAAAATTAGTCTTGAAATTCAAAATTTCCATAATTCTGTAGCTGTTACATTTGGCTGTGGTATTTACTGTGTTATGCTTGGCATTGATGGTGGTTTTAAAACCATGTCAACATTTTCCATAAAAATATGCTCTATTGCTTCTTTTGCACAAATGGGCAAATGTTCCATTAATAAAATGTTGAACAGCTTTTGTGGCTATAAAGACATTAATAGGGCAGAAATCATTTTAACTAATACAAGTCAAGCCCTGTAATTCCCAGAGAGATTTTTAACCCAGTCAGCATTCTGGATTATTTTTAAACAAGCAAACACTCTCGAAGCAGTCAGCCCAAAAGATGACTGAGGTGTAACAAGAAGGTTCTGTGCCCCATGCGGTGGCAGCAGGAGCAGCAGCAGGGGCAGCTGTCAGGCCAGTTGCAGTGGCTGAACTAGCAGTGGCAGCAGCTCTGTTCTAAATCATGTGGGGCTTGAGCACTGGTTATGCTGTAGCCCACCTACAGTTATACTACTCATAACAGATTCAGAATAGACATCCTATTTCAAGAAAGAAGTATGCTATACTATTCTTTCCATATATTTATCTTATCTTAGCTTAAATGCCAGCAATGTGTGAGCTCTTAGTTAACAATGGGCATTCTACATGTGAGCTTTAATGTGCAGTAGCCTATTTAACATCGCACTAAAGTAGCGTATAAAAAAGTGTGACATTACGTTAATGCACAGTAAAGCAGGCTACTGTGCATTAAGCATTGCCTAAAAAGTGTGTGCTTGTGCACATTAGCACTGCCTAATGTGCATTAATTTAGTACCTCCGGGCACTTATACATGTGCTCTAGGAGGCGGGGAGGGGAGGAGCGGTGTTTTAATTAGAGTGGCTCTGAAAGCTGCTCTAATTAAAGCACCCAGAGCATCTCATGTATCAGCATCCCCATGCAACACTAATACAAGATGCGGGGGGCTGCTGGAGCGCAGTAATTGCCATGCTCCAGCTGACTCGATTAATTGTGTCTGCTTCAATGTGCTGGAATTACCACATGTCAAACCAACCTCTCTGCTTGTGTACAGGCACCCTCACAACAGAGTTACTAAATTTAATGCACATTAGGAAAAGCACATTAATCTACATCTAGACATCCCCACTTGGCGTGATACCTCCTGTCACATGAAATTGCTAAATCAAGTGCAGAGAAAAAGACGGGCCACAAACACAAATTAAAAGGTGAATATAAGGAAAACTGTTTCTGTATAGAAATTACTCAAGGAGAAGCAAAATTGGTTGGATTGTTAGTCTCAGAACATGGAAATGTTTAAAGGCACTAAAGGCACATAGGATACAAATCCCTAGTGCCAACAGGAACAGGTACTTGTGTTTCTGAAAGTCTGACCAGTACTTCAGGTCAGAAACACTGCTGCAACTAAAAACCAAGTTCTGTAAATCATGCACGGAAGTGTCCTTAGTGCCTTTAAACATTTCCACATTCTGAGAATAATAATTGATTTCTTAAGCCATGAACCAACACTTACTTCTTGAATAAAATTATTCACCTCTCTCAACTCAAGAAACCTCGAGTTATTGCTGGGTAACAATGTTCTGTATTTCATAGTTGCAGTATTGGCTACTATTGATGAATATACGTATGTCTGAAAACTTTATTTTAAACCTTTTTTCCCCCAATTAGGCTGGAAAAAATTGCTCATGTAAAATAGTTTTAAGTAGACGAGTTGCTGAATTCACAGTTGAGTGTTGCAAATTAAGGCCAGGATCCCAAAGCACTTTACAAAAAGGATTTATAAACCATATCCAAGGATCATTTAATCCTTCACTGAAATGTAGCCACCTGGTAAGTATTAGGCAGCAACATTACATAACCTTTGGGAACAGAAAGTGAAGAATAACATATTCAAATGACACTGCACAGGGAATTTAGAAAAACAGACAAAATGTCATTACATGGGTTGAAATTTGGCCAAAGCACTGGAGTTAATGCTCCTATTCCTGTGAAAAGTACCACAAAATGATCTCATGCAGACCACATCTCATCTAAGACAGCACCAATCTTCTAACAGCGCTGTATACCACAATGACATGCTAAAGCACAGATTGCCACTTACCAACATGGTTTAAAAAAAAACGAAATTGTTTGCATTTGTACCCCAAGTGATTTGGAGACTTAATTCTAATTAGTCTATGAAATATGAACATCATAACCATAAAATGGTATTGGTAGCAGCAACTTACACATTGGTGGATGCAATTCATGAACTGCACAACAGAATATTGTAAATATATAAAGAACCTACATGGATGCCCACAACATGAACATAGTAATGAAACAGGAACAGAAAGAAATATTAGTGCTCATTTTTTAAAATACAGTTGTGCTTCTAGGTGCAAATATGGAAAGGAATTCTACTGCACATCAGATGGATTAATTTTTTTTAAAGCATTAACTACATATAAAATTTGAGGGATTTTTCTTGTTTTGTTTTTGTTGTTTTTGATTAAAATGGTACATCTTTTCTTTTTTTTTTTTTTCAGTCAGTCAAAAACTTTTCCACTCACTGCTCCACTAATACTCACACATTATAACTCTGGTGCTATGTGTTCAGTCACTTAAATTTTGTCTGTGAGCAAAAGAAGGAGAAAGACCTACCTCTTCTGTTCTGCATGCTTATATGTATCTTAGGGTAATAATAAACACATGAGGGGCTAGTAAATTATTCTTAAGTCCCTTAAGTTGATGTTGTAAGAAGTTGCCCATTCAAATAGGAACTTTTATTTATATCCATGTTACCTCATTCTCACTTCTCCCTAACAAAGGGTAATAAATAATTCACTATTTCATTTGCAGAATGGCGTGTATCTTGGTCTGAGCTAAGGATTTTCTTCAAGAAAGAAGGTTTATGATGATCCTGAGACATCTGTGAAAATAATATTGTTATATTCTGCAATACATCATCTTAAAATGTGTTTGAATTACTGTTTGCCAATAAAAGAGACATGTAGGTATAAAACAAGACATACGTGAACATCTGTTCATATCTGGTGTTCGGAGCCCATAGTATCCTGATGGGCAGGAATGCAAGCATTCACCATATTGCCTCATTCCTTCTCTTCGAAGAAAGAAGAATAACTTATGCTGGCATCTGATGCACCCATTGTCTTTCGAGCAAGACAAACAGCCTTTGCAGATTGGATTTGGTCCATAGCTAGCTGCAAAATAAAAATATAAATTAAACTGTTAAAACCACTTTGGAAATAATTTTGGCTTGGAAAAAAAACCCAGTGGTATTTATCTACCACATCATTGCAAGTAGTTTTGGAAGGAATAAAGTTACAGTCCAGTGCACACATCATAATACATCTGAAGTAGTAAGTGCCTTTCTAAACTGAAATTGTTAGAAATGCGATCTCCATTTTTTTAATTGGTGCATAGTATTTCTTAATGAAATTACACACTATTTTAATAAAATGTATGATTTTACAAGCACCACGAGACCAAGAGAAGTCAAATTAGTTACAGTAGCACAAATAACGCCTAGGTACCAAAGTCTAGTTTTAACTGAAGAAGGCAAGCATGCCAGAGCAGTAGCAAAGAGCAGAAGAAAAGCACCCTGAAACAAACACACACGCTGCAGAGCCTCCATCAAGGATATCTCCACTTCAGCTGCAGTTACAAATCAAATGTATTTTAAAATTTTTAATTAATTTTTCCTTTTTCATGAGAATCTCAACAAGTTTCATTAATGACCCATTTTGAAGGACTTTTCGTTATTTGAACACCTGTCTGCTCAGTGGGCTGAAACCAATTCATCTCCTGCATAAAGGCCACAGAACAGCCTTTAAATAATACCACAGCTGGTAATGTTCAAGAATTGTTATCTGCAACTATTTCATTCTTTTTCTACAATAGCAGTCATACTACAGTATAAATTGTGTAACGCAGATACAATCTTCAAACCAAATGAAGGAATCATGTGATCAAGTCAGGGTCTTCTTGTTCTTGATCTCTATTCCTTGCACTTAGGAAAATAATCCTCGCTTTACAAAAGCCTTAAATCGCTCTATTCCTACTTCCATGCCAGTTTTCATAACCCAACTTGTCTCCTGCTGCACAAAAATGCCACCACCCTCTGCCAGCAGCTTCTTAGGCACTGCCTGCCTGTGGATTAGCAGGGGGAGCACACCTCATGAGGCTTCTGAACCAGACTGACTTACAAGGTCTGTTTTAAATATTAAATTGGCCACAGGACTTAGCTGAAATTTGCCAGTTCAAACCTGGCTTACTGGAAAGAATATATAACACAACCAGAAGGAAAAGGTCTTTGGGGTGTCAAATCTTTTCAAAACAGCAGACTGTGGTGGCACCTTGCCAGGATCATGAGAGCTATATTTAATTGCTGATTTAAAACAAAAAACGCACAGCTGGCCATACTGTGCATTTTTATCCTCTGTGAAGGATTAATAGGAGCTATTCAATGGCTGACTACCAATAGAAGGAAGGGGAAAAACCTGGAACCAGTAGCTGATAAGCTTTATTCTTGTCCTCACACATCTGCATACCACATTCCCCCTCCCTCTCTTCTCCCCTCTCCAACATGATTTTAAATAGCAGAATTGTGGTACCAAACTCATATGTTGTACAAAGCAGTTTGTTTTGCCAGCTAACAGTTCTGGTGGTTGAGGACAGAACAGAAACCTAGGAGAATCCTGGAAAAGCTCTTGCAGCTGGATAGGAAGCAAACATATATATGGACTTCATCAGGGTTCCTTAAATCACACTTTATTGTTTGTACAGTGACATAAGATGCCTTCACACACCAGGGCTATGGGCAGAAGTTACACATAAACCTGTTTAAGTGATCAGATACTGGTTCAAACCTGTAACAGAACAGACGTTCAGTGCACATAAACCAGTTTCAAAAGGGCTGAAATGGGTTTAAGATAAACCTGCTTGAATGTAGTATCAGACTTAACTGATTTGGGTCAAACTGGTT